GGTAGAGCATGGGAAGCTGAAAAGTCCTTGACTAGTGCAAGCACTACTTAGCAACAACTAAAACATGAGTGTGTTATCAACATTGTTCTCATCCTAAATCCAAAACACAGCACTGTACCAGCTACTAGGAAGGAAATTAACTCTATCCCTGCCGAAACCAGGACAACTATCATAGAATTCTTCCTCTCAAGTCTCATTTTTCTACTGTGAATCAAGAAAGCCATGCCTTGCACTGGGATTAGACTTGTATACAAGCTTCTTCAATGGCACAAAACTGGAGATAATTTCTCTTCCCTATATTGCTATATGAAAGATGGTATCTATTGCATAGTTCAGTCTGTACAACTGATTTTATATACATATATATTTAAATACTCAACCCATAGCCTTTAAAGGAAATTAAATAATAGGTCTAATTTGTCAATTTTGCACATTTTTTGCTTTCAGAAATTAGCACCTGGAGTTAGTCAGTTTGCTTACACCTGTGTACAAGACCATCCTATCTGGACTAACCAACAGTTTTGGGAAACAACCTTTTATAGCAACGTGCAAAATCAAGTTCGCTCCCTCTACCTTACAGCCAAAGATGACAACCATGCAGTACAGTTGAGACAAAAGGTAGGAGGATATATTAAAGTAAATATCAAGGTGGTATTTTTATGCACTTTTTAATTGTCTCCTAAGTTATAGAGAACTAAGTTACGGTTTCTCTAATTTTACATATTTTTCTTTCATTTTTCCCATATTAAACAGCATACAATAACATGAAAAATAACAAAAATTTACATTTATCTGCAAAGCATTATAATTTGATGTTGCTCTTACGATTTTTCAAACAACCACTTTTTGTATAATTTTCCACACTTTAAGGTATATGTTTTTCCTGAGACTAGTAACTTATTGTATAGCAATGTTATAAACTAGTGACAGTTCTATTATATGAACAACCTAGCTAGCAGCAGTTCTAGTGTCCAGTGTTAGATTATTACCAAACCCTAGGGTGGTTTCTGTTCAATGGCACTCAGTCTGCTTTATAAAAATTGGACAGATCTTCCAGAACACAAATTGTCTGTCTCAGTAGGAGTAAAGTACATCTCTAATGCAAAAATGAAAGTATAACGGGAAGCCTTGCAGCATGCTAAAATAAGATTTTTTTATTTTTCTTTAAGAGGGAGCACATACACATAGTAAAGAGCCGTTTGTAATCTCTCTTCTTGTATGAAAATTTCAGTATCAACTATGTGACTGAAAAGTGTATGCTACCCAAAGTCATACAGCATTGTAAAGAGAGGAAGTAAAATAGACAGGGATATTCCCAGAAATATAGTCAGAATGAAGAACTGAACAGGCATGTCAGATGTATCAGGGATAAAGAGAAAAGGACTGTGGGACTGTGTATGGGGAGCCCCTTCCAATCTGACACTATGTAAATAAAAATGTGAAGAATAGTAGAACTTACAAGGAAGCATCTACTTTAACCCTCATGTGTTTATATGGAAAATTAGCTCAACTTTAACTTAGTATGGAAAAAATATTTATAAGATACCTAGTCCTTTAATAATTTAACATCAGGCGTTAGGTCTCTAATATCAACTGCCAAATTCCTTTATTCTAATTTCCTCAGGCTATATTATGATTTGACTATGTGCCTTCTACCTAGTTTGCTTCAAGCAAATGCTAGAGTTGGACTCCAACATGTGAAACCATGAATGTTTCAACTGGTCTGGAAACTATTTAGATAAAAGCTTGCCTCACCTGAACATCCTAGGAATTTGGAGAATATCACCTGCGTCAAGCAATGAGCTGCATGTTATTTCTCAATCTGATTTATGCTTGTTATGATGTGATCTAAGTGGATAAGCTAAGGAGAGCAACTATACTAAAATCAGTAAACCACTCTCAAGAAACGCAGAAGATTGTATAGCATAAGAAAGATCTAGAAAGAAATGATGTTATTTAGATCTGTCTACATTGTGCTACTTGCATATTTCAGTAAACTGCCTTCAAAGCTCAGTTACTATAATCATAACTCTCCTTAAACTCTATTAAGTGTAGTTATTTGCTTTTTCTTTTTAAATTAATACATAATTTAAATAACTGAAGAAGTTTAATAAACAATTTAATAAAGTTTTGACTAAACATTGTTTTTTAAGTTATAGCTTTATTTTTTTTTCTATGTCTTTATATTTCTTTCTGTATGTCTCCTAGGAGAAGAATTCTGTAGGTCCAGACCAGGATAAGACAGCAATGGACCTGGCTGCTGAGCAGTTGCGATTATGGCCAACTCTTAATAAACAAACGCAGCAGGAACTAGTCCAGAATGAGGAAAGTACAGTTTTCAGTCAGGCAATTCATTTTGCTAACCTCATGGTCTACCTGCTAGTACCACTGGATACAAGTAAGAACAAGTTATTGAGAACATCGGCTACTGGTGACTGGGAGAGTGGAAGCAACAGTATTGTCACAAACAGGTGGGTACACAAGTTCAGTGGTAATCAGTCAGGATGGGCCACAGTTTTCAAAAGCTTCTTAGTTTTCAGGACTTATTCTACCAGATTATTTCAGTATCTTCTCTTCTTTTCCAGTTCATTAATTAAGGAGAGCAGAAGTCTAACGTGATTCCTCTTAAATAACAGAACTTAATCTGGAGTAATTTGTCACCAATTAAAGGAACATAAAAAATTTACTGTCACAGTAAGAATTTTTAATCTAGCAATGCAAATGTTGAAGACAAACATAGGGTATGATGAGAAAGAAAACAGCAGCCCAAAAACTACTCCTAGTTTTTATATAACTTGAAAAAAACCGGTGTATGAACCTAAAATCAAGAACGCATTTGTATAGCATCCATAAAATCACAATTTCTGTGCAACAGCTGCAAGGAAGAAAGTCACTGAGGTTACAAAAAGCAAGAGGGCTAAACCACTGTGGCAAAGGTTAAATTACTAAGGAGGCAGGAGGAGTATAATGCCAGTTACGTTCCCTAGCATGCAAATCCAGAACATTTCATAACAAGCCGTCCTTCCTCTCTATTTATTGTCTTCATTATCACATATGATCTGTCAGAATTCCCACCTGATATAATTGTAGAACACTATGTGAGAACACTGACATCAAGTAAAAGATAGGCGGGCTATCAGTATCAAATTCCCCATGGCTACTCATTTCTGCTGACTAAACACCTCTAAACTCAGGCATTAGGACATGCTCAGTAGTCAGGTTGCAGTATATGTTGCAATGTATGAATCTGGCCCTTAATATTATTATGGGAGGCGTTTTTAGATGTTCAAAGTACATCTCTCACGACTTGCATTTTCTATCTGATGCACAAAAAACGTTTCTTATGGTCTTTTTAGCTTTTGAATGCTTTGCTCTGCAATGAAAATATTCATTTAATGTATCTTTCTTTATGTAACTGTATATTTGTTTACCTTGGGTTGCAAATAATGTACTTGATTCTATGAAGAGAAGACGTAGAGCTCACTTCCAAGCAGCTTTTTTTCTCTTGTGGGCCTGTCTGCACTGGAATCATGGAGGTAAAGTTCTCCATGCAGTTCTAACAGTGTTAATAACGGTGAAAATACGGTGTAATTGTGGTACCACCATATGCTTTTAACAAGGTTTATGTACTGTAACTAGAAGAAAAAAACACAGTTTGTCTTTAGCCAGGTATCATATGTGCATCACCAGCTGAATTTTTCACACTTGAAATTTCTTTTATTTATGTCCATAGTATTGCAGGCAGTGTTGCAGAGAGTTATGACACTGAAAGTGGATTTGAAGACTCTGAGAACAATGATGTTGCAAACGCAGTTGTACGCTTCATCACCAGATTTATTGACAAGGTTTGCACAGAGAGCGGAGTTACACAGGATCACATCAAGGGTCTTCATTGCATGATACCAGGTAGGAATTGTAACAAAAAAGTGGTTTGTAGTCTTTCTTTTTTTCTTTTTTTTTTTTTAGTGAAAGAAATGCACTTTTTAGTTTCATTTACTTTCAGTGAAGTTAGAAGGTTAGATTTCTTTTCTAGACTATAATTGCTGTTGAATTTCAAATAATTATTCCCTTGATGTTTAAATTTGAGAATTTCAGAATATCAGAGTTTTATTTAGATTGCAACTTTCTCTTTCATATTATGTGAGACTTCATTTATGGTATTACTGCTTTCCAGGCATTGTAGCAATGCACATAGAGACCCTGGAGGCTGTCCATCGTGAGAGTAGGCGGCTTCCACCAATACAGAAGGCAAGTATTATGAAACATACTTGTATTCTTTACAAGTATTAGAATTATGCAATTTAGTCATCTTTTTTTCTCCCCTCATAATGTTAGGAGGAAACATCAAAACATTGAAAGAAAATTTCCACCAGTGATAAATAAAGTGCTTGGCTTTGGTCTCATGAAATATGAACTTATGAAACTAGTAGAGCCAAACTTCTGATCATAAACAAGCTGTTGCATGCCCACTGTTTTTTGAGACCCATTTCTCTCAGTTGAGTCCAAACTCTGTCTCCCTTCTTTGGACTCAGTCTCATAACGATTTTGTTTTGAAGCTTTTTAAGCCAAATATTATAACTAGACTGAGGTATAACACTGGTATCGCCATTACACTTACACTTTCATTTATTTGCATCAGCCCAAAATTCTACGACCAACTTTACTGCCAGGAGAAGAATTTGTTTGTGAAGGTCTCCGTGTGCTACTGGATCCTGATGGCAGAGAGGAAGCTACAGGAGGACTGCTTGGAGGTCCTCACATCCTCCCTGCTGAAGGAGCTTTGTTCCTTACCACTTACAGAATTATATTTAAAGGCACTCCTCATGATCAACTGGGTAAGAAAAATTGAACAGTGATAATTGTGGTCCTTCAGATAGGCAGACTTTGAGCTGGCCTATCCACCTGTTCCAAGTATCAACATCAAAATGTATATACCTCACAATATAATTTTTCATGTTGATTAGATAAGAATAATCTCATAATATAGGTTTTCCTCACTAGATATGACAGTGATTGATTTTGATTTTGCATTTAACTTAACTAGAACTTATTTCTTCAGATAAGGCATTAGGTGCCAAATCTTTGTTTATTCCTGTGTATTTATAGATATTTAGAGTGCTGCCTTCAGTAATTTATGTAATATAAAATCATAATATGTACTTGTCATAGAGGAAACTTCAGTAGACTGTCACATGGTATTATGGGCTTTTACAGACTACCTAAAGTTGGAGACAGAAAATAAGGACATTCCTGACCATACTTCAGTAATTTCCATAGACTTTCTGCTTCGACTGGACAAAATGCATAGTATCTTTATATCTCAGTTCCATCTGTAAAGTTGGTCTAATAATGCTGCTTTACAGAGCAACGTTTGTAAACTTCTTCACCACTAAGAGAGAACATATATACTGTGTGAGATCTGCAGCTTCCACTACACCTAGCTTCTCATTAAACAGGTTTTTTTTCGGCCACTGGTAGTGTGTTAAATGAAAAATATCAATGAGTTAGTATCCCCCTAAAATGATTATTAATAAATTCAGTATTCTTTTTAATATGTAATGGAAATAGCTCTTCTGAATGATAAATTATCATATTTTGACGTCTGCCATTTCTAAGCAGATTGTCATTCAGAAGAATAAATTTATTGTGGAAAGTTCATGGTCACATGTAAAGATATCAGTGTATATCATTCATTGTTTATAAATTGTATAATGCAACATGAAATCTGAATAAGCTTGAAACTGTTTCTTCCCCCCCTATGAATCTAGATTTTGGGAGTGCATTTCCATTGTGTAGAAAGGCTCAGAAGGAAGGAGAATATTTTTCTAATCATCCCAGCTGAAATTAAGCAGAAATTCAGATTACAAATAATATTTTATGCATTTACCAACTTTTCACGTATTTTGCCTGACATTAATTCTGTACCGTTATTTTCGTGTTGCTTTGTGCTTACTCATTCCTATCTATTCAAAGTACAATGTGACTAAACCAGATCTGATTCTGTGATGTAACAAGTATCTGTGAATACAATTTTATGGTCCTCAGTTGGAGAGCAGACGGTGATCCGGAGCTTTCCTATTGCATCTGTTACGAAGGAGAAGAAGATCACTATACAGAACCAGCTGCAGCAGAGTATGCAGGAAGGACTGCAGATCACTTCAGCTACCTTTCAGGTAGAAGGAAGTTTTGTAAAAATTTATGTGACAACACAGTCAGCTCAAAATACTTACGAGCAGCACTTTGTCCTGATATTTATGAAGAGTTCAGTTTTGTGCCCTGTAAAGTCAATAGAGAATGCAGTCCTCTCATAGAAACCCTGGTGTTTCTTGGCCCAGTTGATATTTACAGAGGGTTACCATTTTCATATTTCATTTCTTTCACTCCTTTCCTCACCTTTCTGATTTGGATCCAGCAAAGGGTTATTCTGGGTCCGAAATCTCTTAATGGGAGTAAGTAGAGGCCTAGGCAGGCCAGTGGAAACATGCTTTCTTTCTCCTCCAGCTACATGGAGTGAATACAGAACAGCTATAAATACTGATTTCTTTTCAAGACTTGTCACTTTACCAGCTTTCTGTAAAAATCCATTGCAGAAAGTCATGGTACATCTCACATGGAAGAAAGCTGCCCTTCCAGGAATCTTGAGGGTGGCCACTATTGGCCAGAACCAATGAGCTTCCGTATGACTTGCACAGATCCTGGTAGTTTCCTGTCTGTAGGATCCCCTCAGTGCGTTCAGCCGAAGCATGTACTGCAGGGTGATTGACAGAGGTGGACTTCTAAGAATTAGGAATCATGAAATCTCTGAAGTCTTCCCTAAATGTTTCTTCTTGGTGGTGATCTTAACTGTGGTCAAACCGTAAGAGGTGGAAAGTTGAAGTCAAAGAATGTTATATTATGGACTGAAAGTAGACTGCAATACTTAAGATATGAAATATTTTGTTGGGTTGGCTGACTGCAGAAGTGTATTTTCATTGAGAACAGTAACTCTAACATTTGAAAACATAATAAAATAGATCATCAGCATTTTACTAGTTCCTTACAATAATGGACATTATTTAGCTAATCATCCTTCAATATCCTATTCAAAAGCATAAGATTAGGAATACAAGTGAGTAAAACAACCGAAAGTTGTTCTTGTGGACTTTTGAGAGGACTTCATGAGGACTTTTATTTTCCAGAAATCTTTTTACCAGAATAGTTAGCATGCTTCAATGATGTGCTAAATACAGACACAGCTCAGTGTTTTCAGTGCTGGATTCTGGTCAAACATCATCTTTGCTTTTGTTTAGCATAGTTTTGTATTAGGTTATGAGAACAAAAACAATCAGCAAACAGTTTACTTTCTGTTCCTTTTTTAACAGCTAGAGTTCAATGCAGTATGAAATAGCCCCTCCTCTTTGTTTATTAATTATGACTTTCAGAAGGTTTTGGCTGCAGTTATGCTATTTAATGTCTTTAAAACTTCAAATCACTGTAACCCCTAAAGATTCAAGAGCTTCTTTCAAGGAGGTCCTAGAACAACAGAGTTATTAGTCATTTGGAAAGTATTTACAAAACAAGTGAAATTAAAGAAGCAATGATGAAATCCACCTTCTAGATGGCAAACAAAAGACATTCAAAAGGTGTATAGGTATGCACTGAGAAATAAAGCTCTAGGATATTTCTTTGTCTGCTTTTTGCACATTCTTAAAGTTGGTTTGGGCCCTTTTACAGATTGCCTATTTTCTCTCTCTCTTTTTTTTTTTCGTTTTCTTCCCCCCCCGCCCCCGAATTGCTGACTGTCATCCTTTTGGCTGAGGATGATGGGATGGGATTTATTTTTTTTCAAAACCTTTCAAAAAGCATTTTTAGTGGGGTGGATGGATCAGTGTTGAATAGCACAACATTAGTTCCTTTTTAAGGATTAAATTTCACTATTACTTTTTTTTTTTATTAGCAGTTTTCTATACTTTGCAAGGTGAGGCAAAAATTTGAATGACTAAGTAATGGAAGTATAATGGTTGTGATGTATGAATGCTGAAAGTGTTGGTTTGATGAGAGTCTTTGAAGTGCATTACCAGCCTTAGCTCCCAGTACATGGGCAGAGCTGGCAGAATATTTCCAAGCTGAGCTGTCCCATGTGACTAGTATTTGAACTGTTGTAGACATCTTAGTGCCAGCACTACTACTTGGATTTACCAAAATATTCTGTGTTTGATATTATGAGAATTCCAGATGCTTCTTAGTGAAAATACCTTAGTATTAGGACATAAATGTAAAAATTAAATAAAAATTAATAAGCTGTGTAATATCCCTCAAAATCAATAACATATATGTACATATATTTGTGCTTTCCGATGGGCATAGTACTGCATAAGTATGGGAATTTTGCTAATATTTTAGGTTCTTTTAGTTTTTTTAATTCTATAATTTTTTATCCGTTTCTAACATGCCATGTCTTTAATATGCAGTTAATTAAAGTAGCATTTGATGAAGAAGTAAGTCCTGAAGTGGTGGAAATATTTAAGAAACAGTTAATGAAGTTCCGTTATCCTCAATCTATCTTCAGCACTTTTGCATTTGCAGCTGGGCAAACAGCACCACAGATAATTTTACCAAAACAAAAAGAAAAGAACACTTCATTCCGGTATAGTCATTTTTCTTCTTTTATTACTGATGTTCCTGTTTAGTAGTAGTCAAATACATTGAACAATCTGACAGCTTTGCAGAAATGCAGATCATTCAAGCAGTTTCAGGAAAGTCAAAATAACTGATTGCTGTTCTGCATCTTTTTATATTTACTGAATAAAAGGTAGATTAGTATGATATACATGTCAATTTGGTATAGGAATATATTATTTATCCAAATTTCTAGCTGCAGTAAATTTGGACAAGCATCTCAGTACATTTTGAAACACGCAATGTAAGTAGCATCTTCAGCTATGCAAACTATGCCAACATAAAAACCAGATTCTTGTGTATTACTTTGTAGGTTAATAACCTAATGTGGGTTAGAATTAATTTTACCCTTAGTACAGTCTGTACAGTTGTCCTAGTGTTTTTTAATCTAGAGTTTGAGCTTTGGGTCCTCTTTTGAAGTTTGTTATACGTTAATTTTTACTAGACTAGATGGATCATTAGTCTGTTCCAGGGTGATAGTTCCTGTGATGCTCTGTTGATTATTGCATTGTTGACACAGGAAAGTAGAATCCCAAACTAGTCATGGAATCCTAAAACTTTAAGGTAATTTCTATCTTTCCTGCCTTTACTTTGTCAACGTTGTAGATTTGTCACATCTCTAGCAAAATACAAATACCTAAAGGAAGATGATGGCTGCTTATTCATTACCATTAGACATAATAGACACAAATTTATCTCAAAATAATAAAATTGGTGTTTAAAAATTAATATAGGAAGTCATTTTTCTGGAGGTTATAATTTTTGTCATTATATTAAATAAAAAATTATGAAATACATTTTATTTGGTAAGTGGGTTCATCATAAAAATCTGTACATGCTATCAGGGAGAATCATATACATCTTTCTAAATATTTTTGTTGCTATGAATTTATAGTACCTTCTCAAAAAGCATTGTGAAAGGAGCAAAACGTGCTGGGAAGATGACAATTGGACGCCAATATTTATTAAAGAAGAAGACAGGCACAATAGTCGAAGAAAGAGGGAATCGCCCAGGCTGGAATGAAGATGATGATATCTCTGGTAATAGTAAAACATTTTTTTCCATGTTGGTTGATAAGTCTGTCCCCTATCATGCTTCCATTCCAATATATTGAATAAGTAATATCTCCAAGAAGAAATTGCAGAGTCTTCCTAGACAGGAAAGAGAAAGGTTTCAAATATGTACATTTAGTAAGTGTTTTCTTTTGTGATGATGAGGCAAAAGAGGAAGTTGACTTCATTCAGTGGTAAAGCAAAATACTAGATTATTATTTTTTAATTATCAAACTATTTTCATATAGTATCTTTTTTATCATTTTTTACATCGTAATAGTATAGATGGAACAGCACAGAAGCATGCTGTAGCTTCCATTTATCTTTAGACATCATGATATCTGCAATTAGTCTATGATGAGAAAGCAGTAATTGGTGAGATTCAAGAAAGAGCAAATACTTTGGGGGACTTTTGCGGATGCGGAAGTGACAAATGATTTCTGAAAGCAGCAGAAGTCATTACTACTGAAAATACCATTTTTCCAAATTTTGGTTGAAGGATTTGGGGACAGAAGGTAGAAAGTGATTTGGGCACTTTGTGTAGTTCATGTGATGGTGTGGAGTTTGACTTTCTTCCAAATACTTCTTTTCCTACCATGTGCTGCTGTCAGTATATCCTTATCTGGACCAGTGCTAATTTGTAATAAACCACTAGAGGGAACCAGATTCTCCTGTACATAAACAGGTATTGTTTTGTCATACCATTCTTTCTTTAAAAAAAAACAAACAAACAAGCATTTCAGATAACGAAGTGTTTATCAAACACTAATAATTTCTTCAAAACATCAAACAAGCCAAATTTTCCTTTTGAATATTTTGTCAGTGAGCAAGGCAACTTATGTGACTTATAAGCAGATATATAAAAGTTGTCTGAAGCAGGACTGTGTTACTGCACTGTCTGTGTTCTCTCCGAAATGGAAGAAAGCCATTCTAGGAAAGCTAAAAAATACTGATTCTCTTCTTTCATTCCAGTTAAAAGTGGTAGAAAAAAGGCAAAAAGAAAGGATTACAAAATACAGAATGTCTTCACAGTACTGAAAAATTACTTTCTTAATTGAATTTCCAGCATCTTCCTTAAGTGCTGAGTTAGTATGCATTCCGATGTTGCAGATTCTTTGGTTCAGAAGCAATTCTGCAGGCATGTGACTTTTGGTTGATTTTGTGTCCTTCACCCAGAGACGCCAAGCACAATTATACCTGTGTATTCGTATTTCTCTTGACGATGAAGAAATTTCAGGAGTTTTTGCATTGCTGACGTACAAAACAACTACATTCTTCTATGAACACAGCTGTTATATAAACATTAGTGATAGTCACTTTTTTCCTCCCCTAACAAAAATATAAAAATATAAATTGTGAGGCTTCCTACCTGCTGCTTTCCAGATGTTGTGACTGGGAATGTGTAAGGTGATCAAAGTCTGACAATTTGCTTTTCTCTCCACACTGCACTGACACCTCAGGTATAGTCAGCTGACAACAGTAGTAACTCTTTGCTTCAGACAGAGTACAAATAGCCATAGGAAATTTGCTATTTAATCACTGCAATTTCTTTTATATTGACTGCTGTGAATGACTTTTTGTTTGCAAGTCTCAAAAACTGAAGTATAGGAAACTATGCAGCTATACCAACAATGAAGCAAACAGGAACTATCTGTAGCAGGTGATGCATTGTCTTGCATTGTCTTAAAAAAGAAATGTTGAAGATAGGATTGGAAGGAACTTCAAGAGATCATCTACTCCATCTCTCTGCCCCAAGGCAGGATCAACATACTTAATCTGTTCCTCATAGATGTTTACCTAACTTTTTCTTAGAAGCTTTCGAAGATGAAGGTTCCACAACTCTAGGCAATTTGTACTAAAGCTTTAACCATCCTTAACGCTGGAGAAAAACAAGCAATTTTCTGATATTCAGGCCTAAACATTTCCTTGCCACAATTTAAAGCCTTCACTTCTTATTCTGCCATCATATACGTATAGAAGATATGATTCACTTCATTTTGATTGCAGTGCTTAATGTATTTATGAACTATTGTAATATTTCTCTTCTCTGTTCTTTTCTGGATATTAAATATCTGCAGTTCTTTCAGTTCTTTATTTAGTAGTCTTGATAGACTTCTGATCATCATTGCTCTTTTGTCAGTGCTTTTTAGCCGGTCCACATATAACTTGCAATGTGATTTCCAAAACTGGGCACAGTACTCTAGTTATTAGTTGTTGCTAATGAACACCTAATTTCCCTCTAATTCCTCCCCATCTTTTTATTTTCAGAGTTTAGAATCATATCACTACTAAATTCTGTTTTCTATAGGTGATCATACTGGTGTGTTCCATAAAACAGGAGACTGTAAAACCCACTTTTATAAACAGTCATATCTCAGGAACAGTAAAATAGAGGGATTATTCCTCTTCTTTTCAAAATCAAATTAAAAAAAAGTCCATTTTAAACTTGAAACAGCAAAACATCTTCATCTCCCTCTTCAGGTTAAGGACACCGATATGAGCTCTTATAATCTCTAGCTTTTTATGCACAGGAAAGTGTTTTGCAAATTCTCATCACCAATATACCTGCTTTCATGAGAGAAAAACGCATTTAGAAAAAAATATTTCAAAAAATGCATCTTCATCTTATCTGACTCAGTTACAGCTTTCCATTCAAAACTGTTAAATACCAATTTTCTGTATGTCCAAAAATAAAATTATTTCTAAAACTCATTTAATTTGTTTCTCATTAGTGCACTTTATACTTGTAGATGTTTTGTAACTTCTTTCTTTCCATCACAAATATGAAAACACAGAAAAAAGAGGGGATATCCACAGCGTTAAACTCTATTATTTAGGACAAATAGAGAATTGTTGGTTTTGTTTGATGAGCTACAGGGGCAATAAAATTACTCATTTAGCTTTTATGCTAATATACACCAAAAAAAAAAAGTATATGGGTTCTACTCCTGTAAATTAATGTTGTCTTTGTTTGATGAGCTACAGGGGCAATAAAATTACTCATTTAGCTTTTATGCTAATATACACCAAAAAAAAAAAAGTATATGGGTTCTACTCCTGTAAATTCTGAATGTTGTCTACTGCCAGTAAAATTTTAATTGTATAATTTTTATTTTTTAAAATAATTTTGATTTCCAGTTTTATAAAATCCTTTTTTAAATTTAAATCCTTATATACTTTTCAGTGCTTCATTCATGAAGAAATACTTCCCCTCATACGCACATATTTCAATGCTTGAGGTGGTAGCAAGTAACAGATACATGCTATGAACAGTAAATCTGCTTTCAGAAGTATTTAGAAATAGTTGGAAGTGTCAGTAACAGGCAGGTGGCAGGTTTTGTAAAAAGACCTTGCTTGACTTGAATTTCAGTATAGTTTGAACTTGTGACATGGTTTTTATCTCTTGTGGTTAAAGGTTTTTCTGCTTTGGAAAGTGCAGCTGACATGCACGGCTGAAGAAAGCTGCTGTTTGACATTGAAACTGAGGCATTAAGAAGCCAACATTCATCTGTTGTGAAGTTATGACACAGAAACATTTTTTTATTTGACCCAAGCCTTAAAAAGATTTACATCTTTTGAAGATAGTTTAAAAGAATTGCGAGATCCATTTTATCTTGGGTGTTTAATGAGTTTATATGCACATTTTTCATTATTCTGTCTTGTGTACATCTTTGTATAGCGGTTGTGAGTTTAACAGGTTTTCATAAATTGTTGAAAGAAAGATTATCTGCCTTTGCTTCAGCTCAAATGAATAGATGAGGTAACTTTTTCCAGGATTTTAGCAAAAGAGTTGTCAGCCATGCCAGTCACAAGTGCAGTAGATAACTGTCCAATATATTCAGGTTTCCTAACTAAAATATTATGTTATTGCTTATAATTTCTATAAATTGTGGTTTGTATGTATTAGTTCTTGTCATTCATCACTGACAGTAAGACAAACTAATATTTTGTTCAGAAGAAAATAGCATTGTTTTCTGCGTAACTGCTGGCCTCCCCAATAGCAAACTCTTAAAGATTTTTAACTTTAGTTTCAGATGACAGCGAGCTGCACACAAGTGGTACCCTAAAAGCATCAGAAAAATCAACAATGGAGCAATTAGTAGAAAGAGCCTGTTTTAGAGACTATCAACGTTTGGGACTAGGGACCATCAGTAGTAACTCTTCTCGCTCAAAAACAGAATACTTAAGAATAACTGCACTGAACAGGATGTATTCACTTTGCAGGAGGTGAGTTTACCAATTCAGTCAAGTAGTTGAAAATAAAGATGACATAACACACATACCACATGATGTATCCATTTAAGCAACTTGTTGTGAGAAAGTTTTTGTCTACAGTAGGAGTGTTCAACCAGTGACCTTAAAGTTATTTGTATTCCATTTGTCTTCTGGTCGCTGCATATGTATTCATCAGATTCAGAAAGAGTGCCAGCAATGGTAGCTGGAAGTGAGCTTTCAGAACTGCCCCAGAAGCTCTGTCAGACAACACAAGTCTTCCTTCCTAGGTTCTTTCTGTAGTCCATGGAAAGAGAGTGCCCCTGGGGCTTTTGGAGGAAACTAACCTAGATACTCTGAATAGCCTTTTGAAGGAGTTTCTCTCTCTTGGCTTTCTACACTGATGTCTAAATCATTAGGCTATTTTTCAGCTTTTTGACTTGGCCAATAAAGTTACCTGGTAGAACTCACTTTCTTGGTACGGTTTCTGTAACTTGCTGTGTTGCTACTGGAAATTATTTATGTAATGTATTTGCATATAAAATCTATTCTGTTCCTAAATAAAAAAGAAAGCCTCAGAAACAATTATGCATAACTATTTTCTTCAAATAAAAAATATGTTTTAAAACTGAATTCATGAAGGTATCTACGCTACTTTAAAAGTTTGTCATGTGCTGAAAGTCACGTGCTGTGTTTTAACATATACTACTAACTCCTTTTTTGTTGTGAAAGCTGATGTAGTTTACTACCACTACCCACAAAAATTATTTTTAATACAAAAGCATATCTGCATGAGTCCTATCAGAAGAGCATTTGCATTCTCTAAAGCCAGTTTTGGCTAGTCATTGCTTTCATTATGGATAATGAAATTGCCAGTTCTTCATGGAAGAAGGGCACACAAGGAAATATTAGATCCTTTCTTGTTTTCTGACTTATCTAGAGTAACAGACTAATAACTGGTTTTCTTCAATCACCATTGAGTACAATGCAGGTGAAGGCATTAAATCTGTACATTTTCATTATGCTTTGAACATTAAGCAGACAACTCTTTCCTCCCCTAAACCCACCAGTTTTTAATACTCTATAGGATTTTTTGGGAAAGATAATTAATACCTGAATGGATTACAAATCTCAGGATATAAATACTTACCTAGTGCCATATTAGTTTGCTTACTGTGTTTTAAGTAGACCGTAAATATTATGTGCATTGATTTTGTATGAGGGCAGTTCAATAAATGTCGAAGAACTGAATTTACAGGAACAGTGTATCTTGTAGAGGAATGAAGTTATTTAGTAAGCACTAACTTTTCCCTGTTTCTCGTCTTAGTTTCTTCTTAACATATGAAATTGGCACTTAAATAGAATATTTTTTGGAGGAGATAGAAAATAATCTTTCGTATTACTTGAATCCTCCTTTCACTAACATGAACAGAACTATCATCTTGCTGGGTTTTCTATTTTTAAAGCTATGGTGTCAGCGAATTTTGTAATCTTTCAATGTATTGTAGTGTTTTAAAAAATAAACAAAAACGCAGTTTCAAATACACTGTTCCAAGGAACCTGACTGTAAAATTTAAATGTATTTTGACATAAACCAAAAACTATTGTTTTAGTTGTGTTATTTTAGGCAATCTAACATTCTTTCCTTTCAATTCTCATAGTTCAAGTACAAGTGTCAAAACAAAACTACTGCATCATTTGCATGCCTCAAACATCTCTTTTCTGTCATGCTCAAAAATATGACTTCATTATAGTGACAGATAAGAGATACACTAAGAAGAAAAATATTACCAAATAAAATATAACCTTAAATAGAAAGAGTCTAGTAGTCTTACAAATTTTTCGTAATTAAAGTTTTTTTAAAATGCAGTTTTCTTTACAATTTAATGTATTTGCTAGGATTGGACTAAAAATGAGATTTACTAAATAAAAAATAATTCTAACAGTTGAGGTGTATTTTCATTAAGATGTATATTCAGATTGTGATTTTAGGATTTTTTTTCATTGTTTAAGATTTTGAAAGCAATTTTAATTGCTGTTCAATTTTTTTCACCTTTTTGTCAAACCAGTTATCCTGGGCTTCTGGTAGTACCTCAGTCTGTTCAAGACAGCAGTCTGCAGAGAGTTGCTCGCTGTTACCGTCACAATCGCCTACCAGTTGTCTGTTGGAAGAACACTAAAAACAGTACTCTTCTACTTAGATCTGGGGGCTTCCATGGAAAAGGTGTTGTTGGCCTCTTCAAATCCCAAAATACACATACTACAGGTGAGTTGATGCAGCTAGGCTTTCTGTGTAAGTAATTTTATATAGAAATACTTATTTTTCTAGAGGAAAGCGGTGATAGGATTGAATCAAAAGTCTCAGGATATGAATGGTTATCTGATATTATATTAGTTCAGTTTAATTACTGTATGTCAAGAAGCAGATCGTGAATGGTATGAAAGTGGTTCAAAAAATGTCAGTGAATAATTGGAAAGGAGATTATATATGTACCAAAAGTCTTCGGTAAAAGCTGGCATCTGCCAAATGCAACGCAAACTTCCCCTGTTTCCCTTAATTTTTATTTTTCCTTTGCACTGGTTTATGTAATGAGTGTATGTTGTCCCTTTTAATAGAGGATTATATAAAATATTAGAGAGATCGTTATCCATTGGATTTTCTTATGTTTTTCATTATAATATTAGTTTAACATTTATCTTTCTTTTATAAAGCATAGACCTGAAAGATTCTAGTTGGGGTCTTTGCATTAAGTAAATCTCTTCCTTTGTGTGATCAAGATTGGGCCAGCACAAGATTTGTCGGAATAGTTAATTTTTCAGAAGAATATAACATATTAGGGCAACATTAAATTTGGAAAGAACATTAGTTGCCTTTCGTCATTCACAGGCAGTGTTTAGGATACTTATTGTGACTGCCTGGATTTCCATCTCTTATGCTGATAAGATTCTTCGGAGTTAATTTCATGCCAAGAGTGAATTTGGTATATTGCTGAAGAAAAAGTCAGTGTTCTCTTTAATCAAACCGATAGTTGTTTAGAAATTATTCTAGAATTAGGCCATAATTTTTCTTTTTTGAGATAAAGAAAATGTGAGGTAGAATTGGAATACCAGGAACTCATTAAGGTAGCAAAGAAATTCCTCAGTCCTGTTTGTTTGCTTTTCACCCCAATAATCACTAAAATGCAATTAAAGGGTTTGACTCTACTGAATAGTTTGTTCTGTAGAATTTTTCAAAACCTGTAACAAGCATACTGTACAAATATGTGCAAGTCACATAAAAGTAGTTTGAAGATTACGATTTAAATATTTTCTGCATAGTCCTCCTGAATTTTCCCTTCACAGAGTATCTTTATGAAAACCGCAGTTTTATTACTTGTAAAGAACAGTATATCAGACATAATATTTAGCTATATGAGGTTTTGTGTATATCAAATTCACCTTTAAAATCTCAAAATTTCAGAGATCTTATTAGAAAAACATTTTTTACATCAGACAGTGTCTGGACTGGCTATTAACACTAATTTGTAAATCACTAATTATCTCCTGAATATTCACTGCTATAGCATTCATTGTGTCTCTCTTCAGTGTTTTGTGGGGGCATTTTTTAGTTGGAGTGAGGAGCAAGGTAATGAATTGAGTTTTATATAAATGATTCAGTGAAGTACTACCAATAGTTAACGTAGCAGCTGCCAAAGCTGTGAGCTACACCAATTGTTCCACAGGTTTATGATGTGAATCCTAAGCATGGTAATTCAAATGTTAGTCTTAAAAATGGATTTAATACTAATTGTCTTAGCTGAAATTCTGGCCAGGCATCTTTAACCTGGTATAAATAGAATAAATTGAAAAAATTCTGCAGGAATAGTCTGCAAATTATATAAAGACAAACGCTTTCACGTTTTCTGTAATAGCCATAATTTCTATGTGCATGGGAGTATGAGAGCCTTCCAAAACAAGATCTTCAAAGCCTGACTCATTAAAGCATGTTTTCTGTGTGTAATCTCATTGCTTTCGTAGGTGGTTTCTTTTTTTAATTTTATATAGTCTTTTATATTGTCATTGTCATACTTCCAGCAGTGTATTAGGCAATAGATAATCTGATTGACAATAACTGTATCTGTCAGACATTAGCTTCTGGAGTTACTATTTCTTTTAAAATGTGAAGAAAATGGATACTCTCCTCAGGAAGGTACTGCAAGTAAAATGAAAAATATTTATAGGATATTTATTTTATTCATAATGAAGTTGAAGCTTGGTGAAACATACTTTCGAAGAAACTGATTGATAAAGACAGTTGTACACAGGTGCATGTATTTGCCTCAGTAGGAGTTGTGTACAATGAAGGAAAGTCTATACTGAAAAATGCATTGTGATGCAAACTAAGAGGACAAAGGTAATCTTAAGTTAAATTCAAGTTGACAGCTGCATACCTTCCTAAGCAGAGATTTCATAGGAGTAGATTTTTATTAAGCGGTTCTGGATCAATACACAGAAACAAAGAGGACCTGCTGGAACTTAATGAATATTTTTGTGATTTCCTGTTACATCGGGTGTTAAGCAAGTTTTCAAAGCATAGTTGAGATCAAAATGTTACATAAGAAGCACAGAACATATTTTTTAGAGAAATTATGCACAGTACTAAATTGCTGTATGGAATGAAACTAAAAGTGCAACAGAATTGTATTTTTCTAACATCTGTCCACAAAGGATTATGAACAGATTTTTTTTTTTGCCTCGGTCTTCACTGGCAAGTCCTCGAGCCTCACCACCCAAGCTGCAGAAGGCAAAGGCAGGGACTGGGAGAATGAAGAGCTGCCCACTGTGGGAGAACATCAGGTTTGAGACCATCTAAGGCACCTGAAGGTGCACAAGTCCATGGGACCTGATGAGATCCATCCGAGGAAGACCCAGGGAACTACAGGCCGGTCAGTCTCACCTCTGTGCCTGGGAAGATCATGGAACAGATCC